AGTCTCACTCTGTCACCCAGGCTGGAGTGCAATGGCACAATCTTGGTTCACTGCAACCTCCACCTCCCAGGTTCAAGCGATTCTCCTGCCTCAGCCTCTTGAGTAGTTGGGATTACAGGTGCGCTCCACCACACCTGGCTAATTTTTGTATTTTGAGTAGAGATGAGGTTTCACCCTGTTGATTAGGCTGGTCTCAAACTCCTGACCTCAGGTGATCTGCCCGCCTCAGCCTCCCAAAGTGCTGGGATTACAGGCCTGAGCCACCGCACCTGGCTCATTTCTTCCTTTTCTCTCTCCTCCTCTTTTCCTTCTGCTCCTCCTCCTCCTCCTCCTTCTTCCTTCTTTCTCCTCCCTGTGTTGCCCAGGCTGGTCTCAAACTCCTGGGCTCAAGTGATCCTCTCGCTTCAGTCTTGCAAAGTGCTGGGATTACGCAATGAACCAGACTTCAATTCTTTTTTTTTTTTTTTTTTTTTCCGAGACAGGGTCTCATTCTGGTGCCCAGGCTGGAGAGTGTGGTGGCACAATCACAGCTCACTGCAGCCTTGACATTACAGGTGTAAGCATCACACCTGGCTCAATTATTTATAGAAGGAATCTAACAGAAATTTCAGGACCCTTAAGAGACAGCAGCCAAATAGTAATTATTTTTTATTTTTATTTATATTTTTTTGGATGGGGTCTTGCTCTGTCACCAGGCTGGAGTGCAGCGGCATGATCTCGGCTCACTGCAACCTCTGCCTCCAGGGTTCAAGCAATTCTCATGTCTCAGCCTCCCAAGTAGCTAGGATTATAGGCATGCGCCACCACACCCAGCTAATTTTTGTATTTTTAGTAGAGACGGGGTTTCACCATGTTGGCTTGGATGGTCTGGATCTCCTGATCTCATGATCCGCCTGCCTCAGCATCCCAGAGCGCTGGGATTACAGACGTGAGCCACTGTGCCCAGCCAGTTTACAGGGTTTACAGAAATATCTCTCCCCTGTTCTCTTCAATAACCAAACTTCTTCAGAATGAGAAAGGATAATATCGTCCTATATCATTTCTAACTTTTCCTAAAAACTTAAAATTCCACTCAACAATATCCCATTCCATTCATCTTGTTCATTGTGGTATAAGCATTTTCCATACGCGAAGGCAGGGAAACTATTGAAGACAACTGGGGCGGCTAGACATGGTGGCTCACACCTGTAATCCCAACACTTTTGGAGGATGAGGCGGGTGGATCACTTGAGGCCAATAGTTCGAGACCAGCCTCACCAACATGGCGAAACCCCATCTCTACCAAAAATACAAACATTAGCCAGGTGTGGTGGTGTGTACTTGTAGTCCCAGCTACCCGGGAGGCCGAGACAGGAGAATTGTTTGAACCCAGGAGGCAGAGGTTGTGGTGAGCCAAGATTATGCCAGTGTACTCCAGCCTGGGCGACAGAGTGAGACTGTCTCAAAAAAAAAAAGAAAGAAAAAGAGGCTGGGTATGGTGGCTCACACCTGTAATCCCAGCACTTTGGGAGACCAACAGAGGCGGATCACTTGAGTCAGGAGTTCAAGACTAGCCTGGCCAACATGGTGAAACCCTGTCTCTGCTAAAAATACAAAAAATTAGCCAGTCATGGTGGCACATGCTTGTAATCCCAGCTACTTGGGAGGCTAAGGAGAATCTCTTGAACCCAGGAGGTGGAAATTGCAGTGAGCCAAGATCTTGGCATTCCAGTCACTCCAGCCTGGGCAACAAGAGCAAAACTCTGTTTTTCTTTTTTCTTTTTTTTTTCTTTTTGTTTACTCTTAGGAGCAAAACTCTGTCTCAAAAAAAGAAAGAAAGAAAGAAAAGAGTCTGATTAAGCCTCTAGATCTCACATAAGTTTATGGGAAATACAAGGAACGGAAGAACAAGTTTTAAAATACTATGGGCCGGGCGCGGTGGCTCACATCTGTAATCCCGGCACTTTGGGAGGCCGAGGCGGGTGGATCACGAGGTCAAGAGATCGAGACCATCCTGGTCAACACGGTGAAACCCCGTCTCTACTAAAA